TTTTCATACAAATTGTTAGTCCATTATTTATAGGTGTACACTTAATTGACGACGGATTTTCCCCCCTTATTTCCTGATCATGACAAAGAGCACAGGGCGGGTGTGACCGGTCGGCAGGGGATGTTCACTTCTCCATGGCACCTGATCCCACCTCTGATGTTTCTGGGGCCCGTATTTGCTCTGATTTTATTTTGTATTGTTTTATGGCCTTTGAGATTGAATACTGTTCGTTATCTCCATATCCTTCTTTATTAACCCATTTTGTATGTTTGATATGATCTTGAATTATCTCCATCTCCTTATCCTTTAATCCTTTGTAAGACCATCTCCCAATTTAAGGACAACTCTTGTCCTCTATTTTGGACTAAAAATGAAACACATTGAGATAACTAACAGTATTTAAACTCAATAGTCCATAAAAAACATAAAAATGGTGTAGAAGAAACACGGATCTCCAAAACATCAGGTGCCATGGAGGAGTAAGCATCCCCTGCCGACCGGTCACACCCGCCGTATGTTTTTTGATCGGGAAATAATAAAGAATTCCTTGAACAATGCCATGTGTATATAATTGTCTAAGAATTATTATGATAAAAGGTAGTCAGCATTTGACTTACTGATAACTTGTATCTACTGACAATTTATTATAAATCTACTTATGACTAAAACATTGCAAAACTTTACACAAAACTGTTGATAGTCATATTTTAGCAACTTTATTGTTGATAATTTAGCTCTGTTTAGATATTGCACGTACCTAGAGCATGCTCTTACTTATCGAATAAACTAAGGGATTAAAACCTCGTAAGCAGGTGATGAAGGTATCTTGCTACATAAGTAAGAGGATTTAAAAGTTAAATTTAGTAGGTTCATAATAAGGTTTGGCTGTTAGTAGCTGTAGATTAAGAACTGAAGTGTTCTGGTTGATATTAGTCTTTGAGCATAACGCCACAGATCCCATAATGCAAAAAGCGTGCGATTTACGGTGCAAGGTTTTATGCGCATTGTTGGGGGTGGGAGTGGGAGGTGTCTCCACTTTCTTGTCTTGGCCAATCAACTTCCCTTTATTCCCTAATTCTAGACCAATTCTTTATCCAACCTGTATAATTTATTCACCATATTAATATTTTTAATCATCTCAACAGGCGATACTCGCTTATTCAGAATTTTCTTCAATCTAATGGACAATTCAATGTAAGCTAATTTTTCGCCTGTTGAGACGACTTTTAAGAAATGGAAAGTGGAAAAAATTACAGATTGGTAAAAGAATGTGAAAAATTTTAGGGAAAAAAATTGCTGGAAGGGGAATGTTCATTCTTTATATTCGTAAGATTTGATACATATAACAAGTGGGAATTATTGTGTAACTATTCTCCTAAAATAGAAATATAACGAAAAGTAATGAAGGTCATAAATCCTCTCAAATAAATAAAGATAGATAGGAAGCAGAATAAAAATGTGGGATCAGATGGCTTGGAGGAGTAACCATCCCCTGGTAACGGATCACATACAGCACCATATGTTTAGGCAATGAGGAAACTACTATAATTTGTAGTGAAAAAAATGGCCTGACAATTGTATAAAATTGTATTCACAAAAGGCCTTCTTAAATGGGTGAATACCAATTTAAAGTCGTACAGCCGACCTGTGTTACGGTAAATGTGTTATTTTGGTTGTGACAATAGATGTCTGAATAGATTTTTTTTAGTATTAACAATTATGTCATGTACACCTGTAGCTAGATGCGTCGATTCAACAATTTGACAATGCATTGCCGTACAATAAGTTAATGTTTATTTGTCACACAAAGTATAAAGAAGAAACAATGCCAGCTTTCCTGATATGCAGGAATAACTGCAAGAAACGTAATATGTATACATGATTTTTGTCATTCACAGAATAATGAAATTTAGCTCATTTCCTTACTCGTGTCCAATTATAGTTGCATTTTCATTGCTAATTCCTCAAAGATAATAAACATGAATAAGTTTTTTTAATGTTTAATTAACAGAGAAATACAGAACAAACATCAGTTTTATTAACTTCGTCTGGTAAAAAATAATTAAAATACATATAAAGTAATTACAGTTTACTTTTTATTACAACATCTACTTTTTAATTAAATCAACAACATTGTAAACTTGGAATTTTTTGTGAGATTTTTTTTTCTTTTTAAAATTTTCAATTATATCATATATTTTATATATTTTTTTGAAAACCGCTTAAAGAGTTGCAAAACTTCTAGAAAAGTTTTACAATCCTCACATATAATATCCAGCCAACACCTTGTTATATAAAAAATGCAAACAATTAACTTCCGCTTAGTGCCAATTATCAAAGCAATTAGAATGGGATTTTTGTTCGCTTTCATTGGGTCAAATACACATGCTTTATTAATTAACATTGGAGAAAAAACCATAAACATTTTACTAAAATGGCTTATTATGTATTGAAGATATTTTCTTTTAAAAAGCAAATTCTACAAAATATTAAAAAAGAATAAAGTGTCATTAAGGAGAAAATATTCATATTTCATTAATTTGATTTATCTTTGTTAACACGCGAATTATTACTTTACGAATGATAGCTCAATCCCATATTCTTCTGTTACAATGAAAAATATGACTTTAAGTTAATAGTTTTTGTCAAGATGCAGTGATGTACTTGTTTTTTATCATTATTTCTTATCAATTTCTCTTTAAGTCATATTATTCAGATTGCAAAAATTTATTTTTTCAAAATGACATGCATTTCTGTTGTCTTCATTATTTCTATAATTTTCTTATCTTAACTGAGCTGTCAAAAAAAATAAATAAAATAAAATAAATGACCATAGCACGATGTATGAAAAAGTTTATAAAATTTAAAATTTTTTTTGTACAACTAACAATGCCAATTTTGGGTGTGTCTTTTTTTAGATCTATGTTTCCTATAAGACAATAAAAGACACAAAAGCAGTTTGGAATGCAATAAAAAGTATTCAACATCAACATTAGGGACGCTAATAAAATTATCAAAATGTCAATTACAATCAATTTCTACAAAAACAACAATTACAATGACAAGGGTAATATTTTTACACTTAAACATATGCGATGGGTTCACCAAAAAGTTCTTGGACATTGTCATTTTTGTAAAGATGAATGTTCCTGAAAATGTAACATGTATATTGTAAACTAGAATATTTTTTTAAAATCATACATTTAACTTTTGGTCAGAAAAGTTTAGTTTCTATTGTTTAAACTAAATTGTTTTAACAGATTAAAACTCCATAATCTTTGAACTTGATTTTTTTTATTTAAATTATTATTTTCTTTTTAAAAAACAAGCCAGAGCTTAATAAAGATTACATGTAATTCAAAGAAAACGACTATCGCCATTTGCTGATATCTCAAATATCGCCTAAAATACTGTACATGTATATAAAGTGAAAATAAAAACTGCAATAAATACCTTTCAAAAAATGACAGTGAGGTTGTTTAAATACGGTTGACAACCTTATTCAAACAATTTAAAATTATTAGGTTATGTTTTGTTTACAATTTTTGAGATTCTATAAGAAGTAGAAATGCACTGAATTTGATGAAAAAAGAGAAGAGCCTCATTCATGACGTTGTTATAAATCTAGCAAAATGTTGGACTAGGCTTCACAGTCTGAGTACTAATATACGACGATCGTAAATTATCCTGTATTCAGTTGAATTTGCTTTACGTCAGTCTTGGCAGTGTCGCATGTGCATTCAAAGTATTTACACCTTTAACGTTCGTAAAATATTGTGCATTGTATTAATTACATATTTAATTTATAGTCTCCATTGAAATATTTTGTACACATTTACCAGTGTGGGCATAATCAAGTAAATTATAGAATTATTTCAGGAACTTTATGGACAAATTCCTCTTAACTTCTAAAAGAAAAGACAAAAATAAGCGTCCATGGTCCAAAGTTTTACTACATAACAGTATGTTGATATCATAATGCTAATGAGTCCCTTCTGTTACTGCAGTATTAAGATGAATATTTATAATTTCATTTCTTTTTTGTCATAATACCCATCGTTACTAATGATTTAGACAAAATTTAATGTTCATTACACGAGAATACATACACAAAAACTCCTCAAATTATGATCTTTGTGTTTTTGTTGAATATTGATCAGAAATGCTTTCATTATTATGTTGCTAATGTGAGGTAAATATCTTTGAAAACATTACTTGTTTTCCTGTTTGATTACTAGTTAATTTGTTTGTAAAATTTGAATAACAATTTTTATTATTGCTTTTAACCACCTTTTTTCTTGATTTTTCATAAAGATAAGTTTAGTAGCTTTTGAATAACTTTTAAAAATGTTCACAATATAATCAGCAATACTTTTTTTCCTCACATAATATATATCAACATTACAATTGTGACTATCTTTTTATTTACAAGATGTTTGGGAGAATAAAAAACACCTATGATGTTTTGTAGGTCCGTGTTTGCTCTGCTATTATTTTGCAGTGTTTTATGGACCTTGAATACTGCTTGTTATCTCCATAACATTCTGTATGATACTGAATATTTGTGCAAATCTATAAGATATATTTATCCTATATGAGATATTTTTAGGTTCTTTTGAAGTGTTTGAGGGTTTTGTATTTGAAAGAATATACCAAACTAATATACTTTATAAAAATACATAGAAACGGAATTGAATAAGGTTTTATCTTCTAAAATTTTAAAAGGTTAGTTAAATTCGCCAAAAAAATCACATTTATAAATAACATTTCAAAAATGATTGTTTCCACATTCAAATACAAAGAAAACATCAATATATATTATTCCATCAAAGGTGACCAATGCATAACCTTTTTAACAAATGTAATGATAACTAATTGAAAGAAATAACAATTTTTGTAATGTTCTATGCAAAACATTGAAAATTTTAAAATTTTTACATTATGAAATTGTTTATTTTCCTCTAATTCATTTTCATTAACATCGTTTAATGTCACCACTTTCTGGGTTAAATATTAAAAATCCCAAAGAATTACTGCTATTAAAATTTGATCCTGTTATTCTTATTCTCATTTAAACGTTCTGTTCCCCTTCCTAATTTTTACAAACTTAGGAATTGGTAGCCTTCACTTCACAGAGAGACCACGCCCCCTTAGCATTACCACTGGCTAAAAACAGATTGACGTCTCTACAGTGGGCGGGGTCTGGACAGTCACAGCGAAACAAACAACTAGAAAAGGCGTCAGGTACGGCCTTGTTGTCTGTCAGAGTACAGAACTGGGTCGGTTCCTTGATTGCTTTGTACGATACCTAGAAATATCAATTACAAAATGATCATGAATTACGATTAAAATATCCATCATTTTACTGTATATTCACCATATGTATTTTATAATCGTTTTCCTCTGTAGGAGCGTGAATTGATTTTTGTGTCATATCAATGTCCATTACAAAAATGAATATATTTAAAGTCAGCATAATTTTTGGGTAAGGAAAATATTTTGAAAACAGAGGTTGATATGTGTAAGTATTCGTTAAAAGATTGGAATTTGTTTTAACGTTCGGTGCTTGTCTTTAATATGAAAAAAGGTAAACAGGTACATGTAAAGAAAGCATAGAAAAGACACAAATATTTAGTTCTCCATAGAGATAGAGATATTATAAAGTTGACATACTAATGATTGATTATCAATATTCTGTTCTGTAATATTAAATTTTGAAATGACACTAGTGATTTTGCAAAAAAAATATTGGTGATATCCGGGAACTCGATCGAACATCCGAATATCGAATATCGGTTACTCGTATGTGTATTTTTCTTATTTCAAAGTAAATATTTTCATCAAAAACTTATCCAAAATTACTTAAATTCGCATAGAGTATAGTAATACCTGTAAAACACCCGTTATCGCCTTTGGCTGCGTATACACAGTAATTAGAGACCAATCACCTGGTACAGGGTAGTTCTCCCTATTTTGGCCCTTGAGTTTCATTAAGATGGCTTTAATGATTTGTTTTTGCAGAGCCAGTAAGAGTTATATCTTTCATATGAAATGGTCTTTGGTTTGTTTTTTTAATCATTTGAGTATTGACAGTAAACATTGACTTAAAGCAATTCTAATCTTTGTTTAAAATTAAAGAAATATTGCAATTTTCTTTCTTCTTTTAAGAAACCGTACTTCATCTTTGATTGTACATATATAAATCTGGCCTTCTTTCTCTGTATGAAAGATATTTCTCTCCAACTCGTTTACACTATTTCAAGTCTCAGGTGAACTTAAGTCATGTACAGTTTATTCTATTGCTAATACGTATAAGCCAGTACTTCTAAAATAATTAATCATTCATTTCTTTGTCATACTTACCTCTCTGTTTTATTAAAAAGCAAAAACGTTATTGGGTCTTAACACAATATTTTTATAACATTAATATAAGTTCTTCATATTACATATAAGAAGAGGGTGTTTTATTTTATTGGTCAGTTTTCCATCGAATCGCCATATCAACTCCCAAATGTTCTCAATGAAAAACATTTTTGTGCATTTGTAAGTTCTAATGAAGAGTTTTTATATAGCGTTGTGTTCTTTTTCAGTATGTTTTCTCAGGGTACTTTAAGGTCATACAATTACATTTAATAATCTTCAAAGTATTAAAATTTGGAACATTAGTCTAGGTGAATATATTAACAAAACAGTAAATGCAAAAATATTAGAAAATTCTTTATTTATCACTTATTTAAAACTCTTAGTAAAATTAAAGAAACTCTGAAAAATCTATCAAAAATATAAAGTATCTGTCAGCAAAATCTAATTTCTTTTGTTTTCATGCAAATATGCTTTTCTAAAAGTTTTAGACTTTACATTTCTTTATTCATATTCACCTGAAGCATCCGAGAATTGGAGTGCCTGTTACATGAAATTCCTTTCCCTGATATGTTGAGAGTGAAACCTTTCGCCAGAATACCGAAGACAGATTCTGTCGGCATTCTCATCATCAAGAAAGGCGTGAAGTCTTCTTGGGTTGGAAGTGGAAAACATGTGACCTCATTGTCATCAAAGACAACCGCCATTTTAGATTTCATGTCTCCATTGAGATCATTAAAAATCTCAATTGCCTCCCATCCTTGTAATTGAAAATAAAATGCATTATAAAAATTGCGATATAAAATTCCTTTTTATTTCCAATGATTTTGTTTATTATTGATCATATTTGCTGACTTGGGTTTTAATTACATATTTTTCTCGACGACAACATGCAATTTTTACTTGCATATAAATTTTCAAAATGTGATAAGGTTTATTAAAAATCAAAAATCATATTTATGAGAAATTCAAGGAATTCAAAGTATATGTCAATGATTAAGAACATCACATTTTGTTCATTTAATCGCTAACATGCTTCACAAGTATCAGCTTTTCAAAAAATTTGCCTAATTAAATCAATTAATATCTACACGAAGAGTGATACGCCTTTTGATCAATACTTCTGTTGGTTCCAGTTTTGTTTTGTTTTATGGACTTTTGTTTTTGAATATTGTTATTATCTCTCTGTGTTTCATGGCTATGATTAAATGTGAAATGAATTTTCTCTATTGAAGTAATTAAAAACAGTTGCATTGTGTGTGTTTTTATGTTTTTTTTTTTCCTTAAAGATTGGGACGAGGTAGTGCCACTATGATATATTGAGAATGCAATAAGCTTAAGTAAATTCAATATTTTCACCTTTTTGCAAAGAAAATAAAAGATTGTGCACTGGTTTCATTTTTCTTGTGTTGATTTCATTATGAACAGAGACAAGTAGATCATGCATCTCAAGACCACGTCTTTATAAAATTTTATTGGACTAGTCCATTTATGGAAAAAACCAATTGCTGGTTCGGAACAAATTAGAAGAATAATTTCTTTAGTATTGTATGTCAATATACTGATATATACAACCTTTTGTTAAAAATTAATTCTTATACAGATTGCCACCACGCAAACAGGCAATAAAAAAAATTAGAAAACTATAAGCTATCCATAATTAGCATTCAAGAAGGATAAAGATAACAAAGTAAACCAATGGCGAAAGGTCATCTGATTGTCCCACGTGATTCTAAACATTAATTATTTGGCATGTTTAACATTAATTTTAACTCACTATATATTGTAAAGTGATTACCTTGGGAAATTATAAAATCATCAGGTGTTGTTCGTGTAGGAACTGGAAAATAATTTGTTGTTTCAAAGATAAAACAACTTTATGCATAAATGAAATAAAATGCATATTGTAAATGTTCAATCTATATAATTTCACTATTGAAAATTAAGTAGTATCTTTTTTTTAGAAACAAATCCAATTAAGGGGGCTGACTGGGGTTTTATTGCGTGAAACTACAATAGCGAAACTCTTTATTTTTATACTATTTATAACTTACATTGACTCAGAATGCATCCTTAGTTTGGGGGAAATCTACCCTCCAGGTATTTACAAGGGATCGTCTCGAAATACAGGTACATTTACATTGTACTATAGGATTATATAAGAAAGTGCCATATTTGGTACTTTTCAGAAAATTAAATACTACAATAGACTTTTGCTCAAACTATAATATATGGGAAATACTATATTGGACATTATATGTTAGAAATACAAATGGTTACCAGAGTGGCCATCTCAAATTCCAAAAATTGACGAATTTTTGTGTTTTCAAAGAGTAAAATATAAAGAATACGAAAGATTTATACAAAAAATAATAACAGTGAAGAGAAGATTTTTAAATTTCTATGATTTAAATTTCAGGAGCATATATTTATTTAATTTTTTTCTTTTATAACATTTTAGTACCCCTTCTATAAGACCTTCACGTTAGCATAACTCGAAAACACAATTTTACGACGCCACCTATCAGTTGAAAACTCGTTTTAAAAATCAGATATATGAAATTGTAATTAAATTTTTCAACCTATGATTTTTGAATTTTATATATTTTTTATATTCAGTGAAAAAATTGCTTATAAACAGTAAATAAACTTTATTTTTCTGTGATGTGAGTAATATAGCAAAACTCGGTTATAACGAAGTCACAGGGACCTATGAAATTACTTCGTTATATCCGTAATTCTTTATAACCGTATAAGAAATTCATTAGATTTATATAGCTGGGGATCGAAGTTGACTTCGCTATATCCGTAAATTCGCTATATCCGTGTTCGTACTAAACGAGTTTTGCTGTATTGTGCAATTGAAACTATAGTCAGCCCCCTTAAGATTTAATATTGTATTCAATAAAGGTACAGCGATGTATATAACACATTAACAAATAAGGAAACAATTCGTAGATAATTAAAACATGAAGCATTAACAGCCATTTGTTTAAAGTTATTTGCATGCATTTGTTTCTACTTACCATTACAGGTTTTCTCTGGAAGTATCATAATTTTCCTTGGCTCTGCATTGAATGAAGAAATGTGAAAATTACCATCAGATGTAAAGGTCTAAATCCAAAAATGATAAACAAAAAAGTTAACAGTTTAGTGAATAGGGAATGAACACGGACCTTCGAAAGAGCAGAGGTGTGATCAATTGCCTAGGAGGAGTAAGTATCCCCTTTTGACTGCTCACACCCGTAGTGAGTCTTATTTATGGATCAACTAGACGGGCCATTCCGTAGTTTAAAAACAGAAAGAAAACCGGCAGTACAAAGGAAATTGAAAGTAAAGTAGAACAAAGAGAGAAAGTTGGAGAGAAAAACGCACTTATAAGAAATGTTGATGTTGGCTCATGTTCTATTCAGTAGTAATCACCCATGTAACTACATGTAAACGTTGTATTCCGTAGTAAGTTTGAGAACAAGTTAAAAAAAAAACTCAAGCATTCTATCAAATGACAGATTGCAAAAATGCATTTCCAAAAACAAAATCCCTAGAATCAAAAGGTTTTTCCGACTTAACACGTGCGGGTGTGAAAATTCGATTTCATGCTGTACTTCAATATAAAATATGCTACCCCTGTCAACATATTACGTTAGAATGAACTCGCCTGGTGATATAATTAAATAATGGAGTTAAAAACAGACCCCCTCCCCCCATTAAAAGGTTGCCTGGATTCGTGATTAGATTTTTTATTGCAAATTATGCAAATGTAGATTTTTAAGAAGTCTTTGATATTGTTTGTTTGTTTATTGTTTAACGTCCCTCTGAAGAATTTTTTCTCATATAGATACCCCCCTTCACACTTGCAAGTAGACAGCTGTAATTCTTTTTTTACCTTTGCATCGAACAGTTAGGGATCTTTTTCATGCGAGCACTTACTGCGACACGGGATCTAGTTATATACAAAGGCAATTTGACCACATATAATGCACATATGCATTGCTTTTCATATGAAGATCATATGTGGATCATATGAGAATAATATGTATATAAAATCATATGAGAACAATATGTGGCTAATCATATGAGAATCATATGATTACACATATGAATATCATATATTTATTTACATATGATTCTCATATGAAAGACCATGCATATGGGAATCATATGTATATTTTTTACAGTTGTCATATGAAAATCATATGAAACTGATCATATGAGAATCATATGAAACCGTATTCACTAATGTGCCCTTGCTTTACTCAGGTAAAAATCGAAAGAATATTTTGACAGTGATCATATGAGAATCATATGAAACAGTGATCATATGAGAATCATATGAAACAGTGTTCCTTAATTAGCCGTTGGTATATGCAAGTTAGATTGCAATTTCAATAATATGCATCAATAGTAATTTAAATGAACATTAATTCAAAAAGAATTTGTTGGCAATTACTTATGTAAAGTTTTACTCTGTTTAACACTCCTTTCCCTTATAAAAAAAAAACCTTCAGTGGAACAGTGCTGCTTTTTTATGAAGTCCAAGAAGCCCAAAGCTGATAAGACTGGCGATTGATCCTAAAGCTGATTCTGACAGACGATTGTATCATCACAATTTTAAAGGTAAAAATATTAATATTGCAATAAAAAATCAGAGTGTGCATCTGTAATGACTCCTTTATGACAAAATATTTCTTGATATTTTCGTTCGTTCCTTTATAATTCTACATTGTTTGCACAGCTTCTTCAAAAATAAATTCAACTCAATAATATATAAGTTAAATTCTACATTATGAAACAATTTTAATCCAATGCACTTTTAAAATATGGAAAGTATGAATACAATTTTCTTGCTTTAAAAGCTATGAAACTATACAGTAACTTCAGGGGGGAGGGGGGGGTATTCTCTTTAGAGAAGTGGACAGGCTTTTGCCTACATGTGGGCAAAAGCCTGTCCACTTCTCTAAAGAAAAGGGGGGGGGGTAAATTTAAATTTTGAATTTCAGCAAACAATTGATAACAGTGGCAACTTTCAACGTATAAATACATGTGCATGTGACTGTGTTGAAAGTGCATGTACATCATAAAGCTAACCTATTGAATATTTACATCTATATATTCATTGACTGACATTTATATTTTTTTCCAACACTAGATAAACTAGTTTCAGGTAGATGATCTATTGTGTGAATATTTGTTTTACAGGTTCAATATACAGTCAGCCTCTCATAAGGAAAAATCGAAAGATCCAAGGCTTGCTTCAAAGTTAAGGTAACTACACACTGGTCAATAGACTTTGTTGTATACTTCCTAACAGAAGTCTAGGATATCCTGGAGTCACAAAGTCTGTTTTTCTGCCTATCTACTTGTCTGTAATTTTAACTTGATTTTTCATAAATTTACAATAGAGAATACATGACAAATGTTATTGCTAATGTTTCAATTTTGCTGTGGACATTTTCATGTCATATTGTAATTTTATACAAGTACATGACCTAATCATGTTATTCATTTACACATGTATACATGTTTAACTAATTAATCATTTTGTTGAAATCTTATAATTTGTACTCATTTTAAGAATATGTTAAATACATGTATCGACAAATGCTACTGACTTGTTTGTATATTTTCTTGTTTAGAATGTACACTGTGAAATATAAGTTATTTCTCTTGATGAAAATAATTTTATCAAAAAAGTTGTATAAGGATTATAAGATATATTAGAATATTTTACCAATGAAGATAGATCAGTCTGATGTAA